GTGTACTTTGCCTGTGGCTGAACTGTGTTCTCCAAAACAGGCATGTTCTTTATCTTTGTTATTTGTATTACACCTGTTCACTTACAGGGAGAAATGTACTAAAATTTACAGACAAGAACCTTTTCAATTGAAGCATTAAGGAAAGTTCGAATGATATGCAGGTTCCTGCAACAGTAGTGGGACTGCATTCAGAGAAGGCTGATAACATTTAAATCTTTTTACAAATGTGAAGGCTAAGAAACCTTCACAGGCTAAAAATATTGCTTTGGTGATCCTGGCGAAATGAAGACATTCTGTAAAAAATAAAATCAAGGACATGAGAGAGAAGAAAGGTTATTGCTGTGCAAAAAGTGAGAATATATTGTTACCTACAGATGATATTTTAATCAGGTAGCACTTGTTTTTCCTAATTTTTGATAATATACAAACATCACTTCTAGAAGCTGCCAGCCAGGAGATTTGGCTACGCTCTGGCTATTGAAAAAACCCCAAAAAACAACAAAAAACCTTAACAGCAAAAAGATTCAATAAAATAAATTTCTTCCTTTAGTTGAAGTGTCTTCAAGTCCCCTTTTCTCAATGAGAAGAAAAGCTGCAATCTGGTAAGTCTGCCTGGGTATAGATGTTTGGGATTTTTTTCATCATTGTTAATAGCCAATCTCAGCCTTGGTTACTGAACAGTATTAACTTGTTTGTCCTCTGCTGCTTTAGGTAAAATGGCAGAGATCACTGTTATAGCTATGACATGTGTTGACAAGTATGGCATCTGGTCTAGCTATGATCTTGATGATCAGACTGTGCTTCTACCATACATGCTCCAGCTGTCTTCCCTCCTGCTTATTATTCAAAAGTTACAACTAAGGAAAAATATCATTTGGAGGCTGTATGATAATACTTAAAGAATGATAAAGTCATGCTTGGTCACAGAGATAATGATCTCTACCAGACAAATATGCTCTCTCACAGCCAGTTAGAAATTGTTGTATTAGTTCCACTCTTTCGCTGAACAGGACCCCTCAACATCTGCTGAAATTGTTTCTTTCAAAGGTGAATTCAAGCACTCATTCACAATATGGTTTTGAAAAGCCTTAGAGCAATGCACTACCAAAATAAGAAAGAATTTGATCCAACTCTCTTTATCCCCTATCCCATCTCCTCCATCACTGTAAACCTTTGGACCCTAAAAAGCTACATCAGAAGGTGTTCTGCCGTGGTTGCTTAGGTCACTATGTGTGAAGGTGGGTTATTTTAGGGTTTAGAGAAAGTATGTAGTTTCCACCCTGCATGGCCAAAGCAAAAAAAAGTGTGAACTATTCCCAGCTCCTAGAAGAGGAGACTTTCATGGTACAGTAGTCTTACAATGAGAAAATATGATTACAGAAAACCATTTCCTTGGAGCAATCATTGTTTGTATTATTGCAATGTCAGACAGTCAAGATTCTCTTAATAACATTCTCCTTCACAGGCCAGCTGCCACTTTTGCCTGGTCCTTCCATCATCATTCTCCATTTGGGAGAGCATCTATTCCTCTAGATATGAATATGATGCAACAAAATTCATGGTTAGAGCAGTGGGTTATTCAATAATTTATTGACTGCATTTTAAGGGACAAAAAGTCTCCTAGATGCCTCCCATACACCTGATTGCCTAAGTAACTGTGCATCCTCACATTACATAGCATTCCCTACAAATTTCAAAAGAAAATCATAACAGTGTTGCATGAAAATTTACAGTGACTAAGAATAATAAAAAAATAGTTTTATTTTATTTGGTGAATATTTAGTAATTCAGTAGCAGAGCACTAAAGACAAAACATTCCTCTGTGAGCCCTTGACAGATGCACTACAGATAAACATTGTGTAGCAACTGTATTAAAGCAGTGTGAAACTCATGGTGTGGGTGAACTGCTTGCTCATGAGAAGGTGGTTCACTGTGGCTATAAAGTATTGTAACTACCAGAGAACAGTTATTATACCTTTTAGCTTAAAATTAGGCAAATCTGGGAGAAAGTTTATCTCCTTCCAGGTACAGTGCTTCCTTAGTGATATAGCATACCAGCTCTGTCTGCTGAAAAACGCATGAAGTGACCTGGTGCCATGCCTGGGTACTACAGTAGCTGCCTACTGAGCTGTGTGAGGCAAAAACAAGAAGCATATTAAACATGTAAAAGCTGCTTCTTTTTGCCTCACTTTCTTAAATGAATAGAAGTTAACCCATATTAATGTACTAACTTACATGTTGTTATTTCACCAAGGAAATACTAAAATAAGCTAGAATAAAAGCTGAGTTTTATGATTATAAAGCAAACGATCAAACTTCTTATGCCATGTATTATTTTTAAGCACCACATTTTCTCCCCATAGCACCTTGTTGGAAAAAAGGCCCATGGCTGTGATTAGCTCTTATATGGCAAGAAGAAATGTGGTTGCAATTTTGGACTTGTTTTGTGAACTCGTATGACTATGAAATCCAAATTGGCCCTGAGGAAGGAGGTAATCATTGTGCTTATAGATTTCTGCTCTTAGTCATTTGCTGTGGAAAATCAAACCAGTTTTCAAATAGTAAATCTCTGTATAAGCAATAAGACATTGTGAGCATTTTTATAATGTGATTTATTCCTGGTTTGTGAACAGAATGAACAACAAAATTTCTTTTGGGCTTATCCTGGTAGAAAAGAAGAATAACCATACTGAAGGTAGAGGGGTGACCCGTCTGTTAAACTTGTGTAGGCTTATACCCCAGAGGTTAATGAGGAGAAATACAATATAGCATGAAGTCTGACTCAGGCTTGATGGAAAGCAACTTTTTACTTGTATGCATTGCAGATTACAAGGCATCCTTTTCTGTTTGCCTCTGATAACCTAAAATCATAGAGTAATTTTTTTTAAATTTACCTGCAGAAATTTTCAACATTTACCACTATTTCTAGAGAGGGAGAAGAACTATGTTTCTGTTTTCTCTTCACTTCTTTTAATCAAAGATTTGTCAGTAGTCAGTCTCCTAAGACTATGTTAAGTAACAACTTGGTGTCTTTTCGAGCATTTTTTGACAACAGATGATCTTATCTAGAAGATACAAGATAAAAACAAATGAACAAGTCCAAGATTATCCTTAGTGCACAAACAATATTTTGGAAGTTAATATGATTGTGGCTTGGCTCCTTCATAATAGGCTCTTGTGAAGTTACATGTTTGGCTGTAAACAGTGTATGGCCTAACTCTCATACCATCAAAGTCATACTATTTAATGTAACATACTCCCCAGGTTAATGTTTTCCCCTAACTTCCAGGGCTTCCACAGGATGTATATTCACCTTATCCATACTTTAAAGAGCAGAATAAATAGTTCTTCAGCAAGTCTTTACAAGATATGATTAGAAGTTCCAACATTTTGTTCTTCAGTCTCTGAAGGCGGAGTTGTTGCTGTACCTGTGGAATTTAAGAAGCCTGAAATTGTTTCATGGTATCAAAACTGAATTCTTGCTAACTGGAGAAATTGAAGAGGGTAACTTCACAGAATCTCCAGCAGGTAGCTGATCAAGAAGGATTTGCTTTATGGGTGAGATGAATTAACTGACAGTATGAGACTTTTTTTAGTACAGTTGCCTCCTTATGGACTTTAACAGGTTTGATTTAAGTGAATCTCCATTTCAGTGCAGTTCGATGAATGGAGGCCTCAGTTAGGGGACTCTGTTCTTCAGAAAGAGACCTGGGATCTTACCAGGTGCATCTACACTAGCTGGAGGAGTACTCTTTAGGTGTGGATTTACCTCATGTCTGTAGTTGGAGTCTTGATGTACATACCCAAGCATATCACTGCTGTTCTCAGTGCAGTTTCTCTTCTGGTGGAATCAAGATTAAACTCACCGTTCAGGGCATCGCCTAGAGCACCTCACTTGCCATTTGAATGCAAGATCCTGAAGCATTTAACTCTGCACGTGTGCAGCACATGCCTAAGGTTGGCAAATCTATTTAACTTCATTGCTGGTAAAAATGCTCTGTGGACGTGCAGGTCTGTAATCACACCAAAGTGTGTGAAATCAAACCTCCGTCTGTTTGATTTCCCTCTTGTACTGCTTTGGTGGGAACGCAGATACCCCTGAAGTGCTGAAGGTCAGTGTGATCTGCAGGACTAGAGTGCAGAGCAGAGCAGTCTGCCCCCCCCTATATTTTGTTAACTTGACAAACTCTGCGCTCTAGTTTTCCAATTTCAAGGAAAAATTGTGAAGTTTCAAAGAGAAGCTGCACGAATGATCATAACGCTAACCAATAGAGACAGTACACCTTAAAGTGACAGACTATATAGCCTAAATAAATAAAGCATTTCAGAGGGAAATTTCAGTGGTAATTTCGTCATGGTAGGCATAGACTGTTCTGCAAACAGAACAGTCGTTAAGAGAAGTCTCTTTGGTGTCATACACAGAGACAAGTATAATAAGATTCAGTGCATGAAATCTGAAACAAAATGCAGACAATACATTTAGCTAAGAAGTTAATTAAGCATTGGAACAGCTCCCATAGGTTTTTGGCGGATTCTTTGTCACTGGAAATTTAAAAATTAAGATCAAAGCCCAGCTATTAGACTTGACACCAGGATGAATTCAGGGAAAGCCCCAGTGTTAGGTGGAAGACCAGAGTACATGATAACGTTGTTCCTTTCTGGATGTTCAATCTATTAATCTTAATGAAGAATAGATGTCCAATAGAAGTTTAACCTGTTTGTACTTGTCTGGTGAGCTCTGTTTATGGCTGGCTGGGGAGGAGATGATGTCTTTCTATTTCTATATCCTGGTCTCCTGGGGGTCCATGGAAATGACAAGTAACTGAGCCAGACTTGACCGCGCGGACAGCGACAGCGGTGAGTGCTGCGGCTTTGAACTTGATCTAGACTAAGAAGGAGAGGAGGTTTCCCGGAGACGGGAAGCTGAGGGAGAGCGGGGAGACCCGAACCCATTCGGGAATCTCGCGAGGGAGCCGAGAGGCTGACGTAGCTGGGGGCGGGGCCGGGCGAGCCGCGCCAAATTTAAAAGCGGCCATAGCGTGAGCTTCCCTCAGACCACGCGGAGAGCGACAGCGGCAGCGGTGAGTGCTGCGGCTTTGAACTTGATCTAGACTAAGAAGGAGAGGAGGTTTCCCGGAGACGGGAAGCTGAGGGAGAGCGGGGAGCCCCGAACCCATTCGGGAATCTCGCGAGGGAGCCGAGAGGCTGACGTAGCGGGGGGCGGGGCCGGGCGAGCCGCGGCACATTTAAAAGCGGCCATAGCGTGAGGTTCCCTTAGACCACGCGGAGAGCGACAGCGGCAGCGGTGAGTGCTGCGGCTTTGAACTTGATCTAGCCTAAGAAGGAGAGGAGGTTTCCCGGAGTCGGGAAGCTGAGGGAGAGCGGGGAGCCCCGAACCCATTCGGGAATCTCGCGAGGGAGCCGAGAGGCTGACGTAGCGGGGGGCGGGGCCGGGCGAGCCGCGGCACATTTAAAAGCGGCCATAGCCGTAACAGGCTCCTAGCGCGTGCCGGGCGCGCGTGAGCGGAAGTGCGGGTGTTTTAGCGTGCATGCGCACGTGCGCACAGTGAGGGAAGCGGCCCTCAGGTGTCGGAGCGAGCAGGCCGAGAGAGGCAGCGGAGTGAGGGGGCGGAGCGGGGCTTGTGCGCAAGACAGAGAGGGAGGGTTTGAGAGGGAATGGGCCGCTCAGGCTCAAAAAAGGGACTGGCAACCGAACGCCCCAAAGCCCCTGTCAAGAAAAATGAGGGAACTCAGACCGAGCTCCCACGCAAAGACGCGGCCGTGCAGGGCCCTGGCTGCACCGAGTGCCTGAGCCTGGCTGTGGCAGCACAGGGACCCGGGGACACCCATTGTATGCGATGTGAGCAGATGAATGACCTGCTTAGACAGGTGGTAGAGCTGAGAGAATATGAGGAAGAACTTGAATATGAGGAAGAACTTTTTCACGGTGAGGGTGACGGAGCCCTGGAACAGGCTGCCCAGGGAGGTTGTGGAGTCCCCTTCTTTGGAGATTTTCAAGACCCGCCTGGATGCAGTCCTGAGTAACATGCTCTGACAAGCTCTGGGTGGTCCTGCTTCAGCAGGGGAGTTGGACTAGATGATCTCTATGGTCCCTTCCAACTCTAAAAATTCAGTGAAATTCAGTGAAATCTTGTGACTGTCCGACTACCCTGGCAGGTGCCAGAATGGAGAGCAAACCATGGCTCAGTGCTACCTTTACATAGACTGGAAATGAACAGATCCAAGGCATAGTGTAATGCTGCAAATTTTATAATGGCTAGAGTTATTCCTAAGACATCATTCTTTGGTTGAATGCTCCAGCTTCGTCTGTAGCTCCCACTGGAGTTGGAATACTTCTGTTCTGTGAAGGGAGACTGGGTCACAGTTAGACCATCAGCAACGGGCATTTCTCTAGCTGCAGTTTGTGGGTAGACCAGGTAGAACAGGCTCTGTTCCTGTATCTCCTACTGTGTCTGTCCAAAACAAAACAAAAGCCATATATAACTTTTCTCTCAGGCCTCAACAGGATGGCAAGCATGGGAGTGTGATGCTTCTATGGCAGCTAGGCCTCCTTGTTTCAAAATAATGTTTAGAGTAGGTAAACTGGTGGCTGGAGAAAGTCAAAATAAAAATACAGCATGTATGCACTGCAGTGACTCATACTGCTCTGCTTAGCAAAGGTTATATCAACTTTGAATACAGAGTAAAATAAATTAATTCAGCACTGTTCTGCAGTGATCCTGCAACAATACCTGAATTGCGATGAATAAATTCCTGTTCCTAATTTCCACCCTAAAAAGGAAAACTAGGAGTAGTAGTCGCTGTATTGTTAGGTTGATGAAGAAAAGCAATGCATGTAGATGAAATTTAGCTCTTTGATCTGAAAGTGACATCAGCTGGGAGAGCAATTAATTGAGGCAGGTGCCCTTGAAATCAATAGGACATAAAAAAGGAAGTATCTTTGGCAACATATGGCAAAACCAGCACTTATGAACTAACTGTTAATTTCCATTATCCCCAGGCTGAAGCCTGAGTGTTGAGATCCAGAGTCTATTGGAATGTGCATTAAAGGAATCCAGAGGGCATGTTAAAAAATGAAAATTTAGGATTTTCCAACAGAGAGACTTTCAAATTAACAATTTAGCTGGCAAGCATGGCTGGGGAGTGAATGTATATAGAAAATTAAAGATTTTCTCACTATCTTGGTTAGGACAAAGACAAAGTCAGGATTCTGAGAAATGAGGAATAGTGTATCATTCTTGTTGGCACTGGGTGAACCAAAAAAAACGGGTTTCATTGTTTTTAATGTGAAAGAATTGTCTGAATATGAGTTTACTACAAATGGGATTTTTAGGAAAAAATTGTAAGCAAAGATATAAATGAAAACTTACAGGGAAATAGGCAATGAAAGTACATCCATGGATAAGCAAATATACTACAGAAATAGTTTGATGAACTACAGAAAGAAAAGGCTGCAGAAAGAAAGTTGAGTATTCTTAGCTGAACTGGGAATTGAGTAGTATACTTGAGAGCTTGAGAAGAATTGAATCAGAGTTGAGCAGAAGTAAAAAATAACAATATATTAATGATTTAAAACTTATGTAGACATATAAATGATATCTCTATAGGCAGAATTTTTTGGTTTATGTGTTACGCTGCCACTGCTCACCAGATAGCAAGTTTTGTAATTGCAATTCAAACAGACTAAGAATTTGGGTCAAATTCAACAAAATAAGTAATTCTCTGCTCTCTATGCTCTATGCATTCTTACAAGAAGACAATTCCTGTAGATATTTTGGGAAGATTTGCCCCATTGAGTGCAACTGGAACTTTGATTTTAGGGTGGCAGGATTTCAGCCTCTGATTGTTGCCAGAGAAATCCATATTGTGTAAATAAGAAACAAAGAAAGAAAACTGTACTGTGTTTAAAAATCATATAGACACCAAAAAATTGGACTGCCAAATCACCTTATATATGTGTGCTTGAACATAAAAGACATGACTCTTAGTTCACATTGATGTGAATCATCAGCAGTCTCTCCACCAGTGCCATTGATATGCATAATTATGCTGCTTTCTTATTCAAGGCAGTTGTAAAACCTGCTGAAGTAGTTACCGAAACAGGGTTAAAAGCTGTTTTGCATTGCAGAAGTAGAGCAAACCAGCTGCAAGATGGCAGTAAATCTGACTCTGAGGTTGCACCGACAGGAAACTAGTATGAAATCAGTTCAGGCTATACACATTTACACCAATGTCAAGGGAAAATCAGATGACAGAACAGCAAAATAAAATAATGTTAAAAAGCCAAGTCATAATGTGGGATCTTTTATCTACAGTAAGATATTTGAATATTCTAGAAAATTCATAGAGGGTGTATCATCATCTAATGTTTATATTTGATTAGACTGTCCTCAATCATAAATTAGACTGTGCTAGATAATCACAAACTGCTGCAGCAGTTAGATTAGAAAGACTAAGTTCATGAAACTGTGTGCTTTAGGATTGTTTGATTCAGGTAGGACACTATTCACTAAGTGCATCAAAAATTATTAGTTACCTTCCTTAAGCACACTTGTAATAATCAGTACTTCAGTAGGTCATCATAATCAAATAAACACAAATATTTTCTCTGTATTAAATTTTAAGTAGTGAATTAATAATAGTTTGTTATAATTTTTAAATTGGAAATCATTAGGTAAATATAACGATAGTGAAAAAGCTTACCAAAGGCTTGAAAATAATTGAGTCCTTTCCTGAAATACTGTTTTTATAAATTTGATCCTTTAGTACCTTTTCTTTGACATGAAGTTTTAACTCTAGTACACAAAATAATGTCACAATAAACTAAGCAACTGGTAAACCACAAAGTCCTTGTTCCTACTTAGCTGATCTTTATTTGTTACTACCACGTGTTAATGCTTCTTAACAGAGTAAGACTATAAGTAAGATTAGAACTTCTAATATTTCACCTTTATTTTTTTATTTTCTTGATTTTTCGATTAAATTCATTTCCTGCAGCAAAGTGTTTTCTTTGAACTAGATGTATGAAGTTGTGTGTAACAATGACATAGAAGCCTTTGCAATTAAAATGCTTTTAAATTGAAAATATTTTTTCCAGTTGTACATACACAGATGCATGTCTGCATGTGCACAGACACAGAGGTACTGCAGAAAGCAAGACTGGAGAAAATACCAACTCTTCTCCTAAGAAAAGTAATGAACGCTCAGTACAGCACAGCCCTGATCCTCCACAGGTTTAGGGAACCTTTTAAGACTCCTGGATTATAAACCAAGGAGCTGTCTTTTGAAAATAAGCCAATTTCTTTAAAAGGATTTGCTTTTTTGAAGCCTAGGGTTTAAGCCCAAGGTAAATTACAGATTCCAGGTTCAGCACAAGATTCAGGAGAGCCACATGAAGCAGTATAATGAATGAGAATTGCCGATGGAAACAGATGCCCTGTCAGGTCATCCAGGTTAATCCCCTGCGGAAGCAGGTTTATTTTCTGCTATATATCCTCTGGTTTTCCTCCTAGTACATGGAGCAGATAGCCCATTTTGCAGTGGCATGTAACTCTGAATCTTGCCCCACAGTAATTTTTCTGTAGAAAAGATTTTTATAAACACTTATCCCCTGAGTTTTAGCTGTTTGGGTTTATGTGATGAAGGCATTCCAGTTTGACAGATGTCAGCTATTATTCTTAAGATTTCTTTATGTACTGCAGTTTGTATTGCTATAGTACCAGAGATGCCAACCAGAACTGAAACCAGAACTGAAGCATGGCTAGAGGGTAGCAAAAGGCATACTTCTATCTATATGATTTTCTGCCTCTGTTCCCCATAAAGAAGATAATGCATTAAATTCATGTAGATGGTTTGAGAAAAAGTACATATTGTATGTGATTTTTCAGGAGGATTTTATATTTTTTTTCCTCATATTTTGTATTCCTTTTAGGCGAAAAAGGTTAGTCAGACTAATGAGAAACTTCATGCTTTCAAGTCTGCACGGAAAAAAAGAATCACTGATTGGTGTTACCTCTATCAAACTTAATCACCTACTTTCTGTAAGTATGCAAATAACCCCCTTGTAGTTTACCCATAGACTTAGGTTTAGCGCTCTTTTTAATGCTTTATTGGGTCGCAGTCAGACTGCTCAGCAGTATGTAGGATCCAGTCCTTTCCATGAGAGGAAAACAGGGTGGTAGTCATGGTATTTGTTGTTATTGGACCCTGTAGCTCTTTAGATCACACTCACCTGGGTGGGTTTTATGCATGCAGAAGCTTGGGAACAAGATCACACCCAAACTATAAGCACACATTTTGTTGCTCTTTTTCTTGGCTAACACACAGAGTGAGTGGCTGAGACAGGGACACTGCTGAGCAGACAACCCCAGTGCAAGCTCTTGCTGGGAAGGCAGTCATCGGCCAGGTGGGGAAGTGTCAGCCTGGGCTACTCCCTGGCACAGTTTGATGCTTGAAGTTGATGATGTGCTGTCTTCTGACTTCCCTCTTTTTTTTCTAAGGGTATTTTACCGTGGCATGTTGCTATATTATGCTTGAGATTTTCCTGCCTATTCAGAAATTTTGCTATTGTGGAATTAAGCAAAGATTTCATTCTCTGAACATACTAATTGTCACTCTTTCAAGATCCTAAATGCCATTTAGAAATTCCATATGTATATGGCAGGGTTTCACATTTTTAATTACTTATTTGCATTGCTTGCTCGGTATGAGAAGAACCATTTTAAAGGTGACTGAAAGATAACTTCACAGCTTTGAAAAAATTTTTAGAGCTTTACATCACTGGAATGCTTGTTTAGATTTGTTCTGCAAGAGTAGTCAACAAAATTCACTGCAAGGTGGTTATCCTTTGGTGACTTCTATGAAATAAGTCTGGTTTTTGTGGCTAGTCCCTTGGGTAATTATTCCTGACAAAACCCCAGCTGTGGCTGACACAACCCAGAGGTGTTGTCCTACCTGATTGTGATGAAATACTTTCTTTCAGGTATACTTTCAGGTCATTCCATTATGTAATGAAAGTCATTGATGAATCATTTTGTAGATACATTCTTTGCAGATACCCTCAGTCAATGCATATGGGTATAATCTCTGTTCCTTTCTCTTGCACTTCTTAAAACAGTGTAAAAGTCACAGCTAAGTATCTGAAAACAACATCTGTGTAAAATAAAAGAAGGTAAGTGGGGCTTATTACCATTAAATCTGTAAGGGCCAGAGTACAGACAAACATGTATGTAAATAAAAGCACAAAGAAAATGGCTAGTGACGTACATTTTGTGAATAAGATAGGTCAGTTTTCTGATGTATATTATCCTGTGGGTTGAATGATACTTTGCCCTTTTCCATCCTCTTGGAAATACTTTGATGTATGTATTTTGACATACTAGACTGTGATCTCAAGAGAGGAACTGTTAAGGTCATATTTGACACTCCACTGTGTATGTTCAAGGACTCCATTTATGATTCTGGTTGACCATTTCAAACTGTGTTTCTGACAGCTTGGCACTAATGCAGGCTATGTGTCACAAACAGCTGAGGCAGCTCTGTGACGTGACAACCATCTGGAGCTTTCTGCTTTTTTTCAGAGTGGCAGCCTTGTTGTCTTCCACCTTTGAGTATTTCATTCAGTTTTCCTTCCCTGTTGTCAATTAAGATGAGTAACAATAGCAGTATTTTGCTTTCCACCCTGCTTGGATTTCTCTGGATAATTATCAAACATTGCTGTATTCATGTGAGCTTTTGATGCCAACTGGGCAGAGAGCACTCAAGAACAAAGCTGTTGTTCTTCTTTCTGCAATTAACCAGCAGAGACAGAACAAACAATTAGCTTGGCACAGTCATGTCAGAAGTGAAGTGGTGGCAGGCTTCCTGGGTCAGATTTTTGATCATAGAATCATAGACCTTTTATATCTGAAAAATGCCATGAACTCACAATAGGTTTGTGTCGTGCTTGCCTTGTGTTGGCTATAGCAGCACTGTGAACCACAAAGCAGTTGACAAGCAGGCCCTTAAGTCTCATTGCTGAGGCAATTCCATTGATGCCCCATAAACAGCTTAAGCACCAGCCATCTGACATCACTTAGTGAGACATGATTCTCTTGATGTTGCTTGTTATTTTTATTGTAGTTCGTTTGCACCATTGGCTTCCTTTGCTAGGCATTTCATTACATCTTCACACACACATCTGTTATTGGGCAGAAATCTCCACTGGGAGGTGGTGTGGGTGCCATTATTCTGCTGTGCTCATATTTTGGCAGTGGTAACAATCATTTAGTACTCAGGACAAAACGCCTAGTCATCCTTTTTCTGTTTTGTCAAAGCTGAGATTCAAAATTGTACCACAAATTCTTCTCTGATTTAAAAAAAAAAAAGAAAGAATGAAAATAATTCTCTTTTTCACGGGGATTTAAACATTCTTCTGTTGCTCTGTTGTGTCTTAGAAGCAGATGGACAGAGACGTTGTTTGGCAAGGTTCACCTTTGATTAATGGGTGCGCTGTCACACTGAGTGCAGAGGACAAAAGAGGGTCATGTTGCATCCCTCCATGTAACGTCGCGAGTTGCAGGAGCACTGTGCAGGAGCAGAAGGACTCCAGTGGGACTGGGAGGCCTGAGTGTCCCCAGCCAGTACATGGGCAGTGTGACAGGGAAAGATAGGCCACACAAAACTGGACATGGCAGGGGCATTTCCCATAATCATACCTCTGCATCTGAGCCCTAGTAAGAGCCAGGCTGTCCTAGTAAGGTCTTATTTAGGAACCCCATAGCTACGAGTCTTGGCAGTGAAGAAACATTTAGTCCCTGTCCTCCTCCTCTTAAAATCCATCAGCCCTCTTGTTTTGCTTCCCTTGAGCAGTAACAAGGCTGCTCCTGTTCAAGAGGCTGCAAGGTTTTGTTGTGAGCACAGGTGCTGACCATCTGTGTTAGAAGAAAAGAAGCTGTGAGGTAATGGGTAAGGGGAAATCCCTAATCCTCCTCCCTCACATCCCAGCTCAGTGAATCTGTGCTTGGAGTCCTCATTTAGCAAGGGGACAGCAGGTTATCTGGACTAGACTGAACTCCCTCTAGCCTCAGCTCAAGGGCATTCACAGAGAGACTTGCTGTCCCTGTGGTATTCCTCATCTCTCCAGGGTGTATTCTTGCCCAGCACGTGATAAGGTCAGAGGCAATTCAAATCTAAAGCAGCCTAGAAAACTGAATTTTGGTTCAGTGCAGGTATGCCTGTGCTGTGGGAATTGGGTATGTTCTCTGGCTCCTGGGTTTGAGTGCATGCTCTGGACTTATCCCTTTGCAGCCAGATCTCAGTGCTCACCCATACTTGTTGCACTTTTTCTATAAGAAGTAAAACTGTGTTCGTAGGCTAGATGGAAAACATGTCAGTACTTTAACATGTCTGCAGTTTTTAGGACACACTGACGAAGACAACAGGCAATACATGGGCAGCATTTACCCTACAGTCTTAGCAAAAACTTGGTTACTTTACTATTACATGAATCCCAAACACAACTACAGCCCTCACACATGCACACTGTATAAATCCACTCTAATAAGACAGGTTTTTCCCTCAGGGATTCAAATGTAAATTGTATGTGGAGACAAAAGATAAGAAATGGTTACCAGCAGCCCATATGAATCATAGAGAGGACAAAAGACCCAGAAAGTGAACCTGTCATTTGTCAGAAATGCTAACACCCAAAGCTCCTGTTTGATGCGTAAGGGTTGATGAGCTTCAGGACATTTGGATAGGATTTGTGTGGGAGAGCTGACATCTTTTGTTTGTCAGAAGCATTTTTAGCTATTTGTCTTAAATAACCTTACAGAGGTTTGCAAGTGTAATTGTCCAGTGATCAAAATTTACCACTGAAGCAATTTTGATGATTAAAATGTTACTTTGTAACAAGTGATAGATAACTTGCTCCTAGTCACGTAACTTGGTAGCCACGAAGTAGAGAATTATTCAGATCTTCCGGTTTTTGTTCCATCAATTCCATTGTCTCTCCACTCCTTTTACTCCAGTCCTGCCCGGCTTTTTCCCCTTCTTTTTTCCTCACTTCTTAGTTTTCAATATGGAAAAGGGAGAACAAAAATGTTTAAAAGTCCATCTTTCAGGTTTTGGAATTTTTATTAGGAAAAGTTAGGCAAGAGTAGCCAGTCAGTTCTGAAGGGGGGCACCTCTTCCTTTTCTCTTCTGTCTCTTCCTTTTTTTTCTTTTTATTTTTCCCCTGTGGAAATAATGAGAAAGCAAAATAAGAACATTTGCACAATTCTTGGGATATGTGTGCAAAAAAATGTGTTTCTGCATCCGTTCACATCCTTTCTGCATTGTCAGCTGGTAGCAGTGAAGTCTTCTGTGTTGGAGCTCTTGGTGTTATCAAGGACCTTATGAAGAACCCGAAGTCTGGAAGCTCTTCAGTTTTCAGTGCATGGGAAAGTATTTCTTTTATCTTTGGCTCTGCTTGTCCTATTTCTGTTATTCAGGCAACCATGCTGGCATAGCTGTAGATCTTGTTCTGTGGGGAGTATTGAAAAGTGTTAGACTTTAAAGCAGTGACAGCTCTGTGATCTGGCTGTGCATGAACCTCAACCACATGTAAGGCTGGTTTCCCTGATAGGACTTGAACTGAGACCTTAAGTTCAAAAGGAGTAACCCTTGCTCACAGCATGAAAGAAATGATAATTACACATTCACTTTTGTGCCTCTAGCTAGTACAGTCAGACTTGCTGCTAATGTCTGGCGGGTTTTGTGTGGTGATAGACCTGAAGTGTTAGTTTTAAGACATTTTGCAGAAAATAAAGGTTAAGCAATGCTTCTGAAGAAAAATAAGTAGTCACGTTTGAGCAGATAACCTTCTCCTGGCTTCTGGTGTCCCAGTGGAGGTGTGATAGCTGGGTATATTGCTGAGGGGGGAAGCATGCTGAGAACTGAGGCTTCTTTTCTCTTCTGCTGTCAAGTCTTTGCCGTCTTGGGAGTCTGAGAGGAGACTGCTATAGTGGGATTCTCCTTTATGTCACAATATAAAGCTGCTTCTTTTGGTTATGAAGTCTTTTTAAGTCCCAATGCCCCATTCAGTTGAGATGTTTCTCAGCTGTTATAGAGAGTGTGTGAGTTATCAAGTATCCCTCAGACAGCAGTATTAATCTTTCCTGCAAAAAAGTGTATTAAAAAGTTCTTTTCTGATGTCTTTGTGACATCAGCTATAGACATTTTTATTTGAAAGACTTTTAAAAAGTGTGTTCTTTCTTGTTGTATATCTAAATCATGGAAGAAAACCCATACAAGATGGCTGCAGAGTAAGGCTGTAGTCAAAGCAGTACCATAGCCATGTTTCCACAATGCAGAGTAACTGGGACACAGCTCTCCAGCTTTCAGACCTCATCTAATATATCTGCATGGCCCTGTATGCTCGCAGGCTTTTGCTCAGTTACAGCCTGGGAAATGTGTCACTGAAGCTTGCATAGGCCAGTTGTGACTTATAGGGGGTTTACATTACCTTCAAGGTTTCTTTACAAATGGACAGGTTTCAGGGCTTTCCAGAGAAGATGATAGCAAGGCTTCGCTTAGATGAAGAAGGGTATCCTAGCTGGGAAACAGAGGGTGTGGTAAAAGGCAGGGCCAGGGAGGGCAGAATGAAGCTTGGCCAAGCTGGTATTTCTGCACTGAATACCACTAATTCAGAAAGACATATCTTGAGTTTCACCAGAAATTGGTGGGACCAAGGTGCCTAACTGTCTTTTAAATGTATGACTCAGACTTGTAAGTTACTCATGCACTTTTGAAGACGTTTATCATTTGCAAATCAGTTTGTGTCTATGGCTGTGCTTATTACCTAGGATAATTTATCTGTGGTAGGAGCCTCTGGGATGAATCTTCCTTTTATATTTGCTTGTTGAAACTTATTTTTGCTTGAACAAATTTGGGGAAAAGATTTTTTTATTTCAGATCACCCAGCAAGTAACTGGTTTTGCTCACATTAGAAGTTCAAACTGAACCTCAGTGCCCAAAGTTTTCTTTTCCCATGAAGTGATACAGGCTGCTGTATCCACCAAAAAAAAAAAAAAAGCCACAGTCCAGTCTGGCTGCCTTGGCTGTTTCATGCTTTATAGATACTGCTCAATCAAATGGCTTAAGGAAATTCAGAGCACTGGTGGGTGAGGCTGGTTAAAATGGAAACAAAATTAATACCACTGTGCTACAGTTATCAAACACATTTCTGGTACTTTGTGGCTGCATAGTCCCACAGCATAAAGTCTGTACAAATAGTTTCAAGTATAGAGAGCAATCACACTTTCTTTTCCTTCTTAACTCGAATTAGAAAAATTAACTCCTTAATTAGAAAAACACTGAAGAAAAAACCCCTCAATCAAACAACAAATAAACACAAAAGCCCCACTGCATTTATTGGGGAAGTCATGGAAAAGTGAATGGAAAAATGAATGCAGTATGCAGGTCCCTTGAGATGTCCTTGCAGACAGATTTTGCTGGGCAAAACAAAATATTAAATAAAGCCTATCTAGATCTCTGTAGCACTTCAAGAGCAGAGAAGTGTGGGCTTTACCTTTTTCAACATTGTACTTTCTTGCTTTATCAGAAGTCTCATGGCACTTGGAGTTTGAACCCTGGAAGGATGTGATTTTGTGGGAATAATTTTTTTTTCAAAATAAGTTTCTAATTGTAGAAACTAATTGGAAAGCTTGATTTCTAAAAACTCAGAAGAAAAATAAAAAGAACCCCTACCTGTATGATGAGACTTCAACATATATGGCTTGGTATATTTTGAAGATTTGACTGAAATTTCTAAATTCAGTAGGAGCCTGTTCCTCTGCACCAAAGTGCATCTTTTAGACATTTTAAAAAGCTGTTGGAATGGCAGCTCTACAGACGTTATGAATAAATAGTTTGCTGACAAAGCTGGGTAGAAAGGGACACCAACTCTATCTTAGATAACTGCAATCCTTTGAAACCACCTTCCTGTAGCTTTACATTTCTGTGGCTATTTCCACCCTAGCAGCTCTGCCTCCTGTAACAATGTAAGTGACATGGTACTCAACGTTTCCTTTACTGTGATTCAACTATTTTTTTCTCAAGATAGTAGCTTTAGCTCACTTGATTCGTGTAAGTCATTGTCAGCAAAAGCACTTTTTGGTCAGGACTACTTCTTTCTATGCTCTATGGGGTTGCTCATGTGGCTCTGCTAGCAGACCTTAACCAGAGTACACCAAAACCATGGTCCTTGGCAAAAAGCAAAGCTAATACTGAAACAGTTACCTCATGAACAAAGAGAGCTCTAGAAACATGCTTTTCACTCTGCAGCCTAGTTTAAAATTGATCTTTTATAAATTGCCCTGCTGTTGCCAGAGAAGGGTCATTGCACTGCAACGATTTCTATAATACTACTAGTAGTGAAATTACTTGAGTAGACTGAGATCAGTTATATTGGTGCTGTTTTAGGTCTGCATTGTAACTCCTATTATGTGTTTCATCTAGGTCAGGTATTGTTGGGAAAAGGGCTTTTTCCTTCTTTTCTCATCTTTCTCTTTTCTTTTCAAACCACTCTGAAGTTTCTGAATGTGGTTCAGAAGAATCACGTATCTCCAGCAATATGAGGTGGTACAGTTTCTTTTTGCAGTAATAAGAGGCCATATAGTCACAGGAACTGCAGAGATAGCCAAATTGTTAACAGTAAAAATGGAAAGATTAAAACTTGTTGTCAGGTGTTTTGCAGTTCTACCATTTCCCATGTCCTCTGAAATAACATCTTCTTTCTTTCAGGGGCAAACACAGGAGACGTTTAGAAGCCGGTATTGTGAGTTAAACAGCTTCTGAGTGAAGGTGAATGTGTTTTTGAATGCAAATGAATGTGTATTGGGGGAAATTATACAGCATGATCTCTTCCACCATCATGTATTCCACAAAATTACAGCAGAAGGCTACGTTAATTAGGAATTTTCCTTTTTGAGGGTTCCTGTCAAGTTCTCCATCATTCTGAGAAGTTGTTTTTTGTTGGTTATTTTTTTTTCCCCTTTTGTGACTATTCTACAATTTTAAAGTGTAGTATAATCAGTTATCTAATTTAGACTATACTAGGGAAGTCTGTGTCCATTACAGTCTATGAAAGGCACTGGTAGAATGATTGTGCTGCTGCCATCAGTTTGAATCTGGTTTGTCATTCCTGCTGGAAGCGTATTAGTTTCTCCCATTACCCATGGATGACTGACACTATGGGCAGTACCTGCTATATTCTCTCACATTGGAGCCTATTAAACAAGTGTTTAATGCACAGATTTTGGATACAGGATGCTGTAACAGACCCAGTGAGGCCCTTTGGGTGTATCTTGACAATGCCTGCCTGGGAAGCCATTAGGCTGTTGAATATTAATGTGATACATTTTAATGGTTCCTTGGGTACAGTTAGTGTGTGTTATGTTAATGTGAACTTAGAGATTCTTTAATTGACTGATGCAGGAGAATTATTACTTAGCATACTAAATGTCTAGATGCAGTCTTTGATCGTGCAGCCAATCTATGCACAGTGTCATCATTTATAAGGGGTTAAATCATTCAGCTTATCTTTCCAGGGTTCTGAAAGCAATTTTGTTGAGTTCACGTTATATATGTATTTCAAGCTGAAAGATGGATCAGTGGCTGGGTTTATCAATGTTTATAAATACTTAAAGGGTGGGTATCAAGAGGATGGGACCAGTCTCTTTTAACCGTCAAGCCCGGTAACAGGACAAGAGGTGATGGGCACAAACTTGAACATAAGAAGTTCCATCTAAACATGAGGAGGAAATTCTTTGCTTTGAGGGTGGCAGAGCAATGGAACAGGCTACCCAGAGAGGTGGTTCAGTCTCCATCTCTGGAGACATTCGAAACCCACCTGGACACGTCATGTGCAACCTGCTCTAGGTGAACCTGCTCTGGCAGGGGGGTTGGATTAGATGATCTCCAGAGGTCCCTTCCAAGACCTATCATTCTGTCATTCTGTGATTGTTTACATTCTCTGTGGCTTGTAGCTTAGCTGTACCTCTAGGTATGTTTTGACAGTAGAATCTCAACACTAGAATTGATCTGATGCAAGAGCTTTTGGTTTTCAAAGTGTGTCTAAGCCTGCTTTCACGTATCTCCTCTCCCATGGGCTCCTGCCACCTCTCTTGTGCTGACTCTGGCTCTTGTCTGACTCCGGCTCTTGTCTGATTCCTTACCAACACCTACCACCACGTTTGCCTGATTGCCTTGCAGGAGTGTGCTTCTCTGCACTACTCATAGGACTCCTTGGGTCTATCACTTTTTCTGTTCTTTGGCTTAACTTTCATTTGTTTCTTTTCTGCTGGAAACAACACCAAATTTTTTTTTTAATTCCCTGATGGTCTTCTTTCCCTAGCTAGCAAGCATCTCACATTCCTGATCCATTTGCTTTTTTTCCTGATTCAGTCTAAGTTCTTTTTGCCCTTCTCTGACTTTGGTTTTCCTTAATTCTTCCCTATTATCTTTTTAGCTGCTTTTCTGAGACCCGAGGGAAAGACATCATCTCCTCTCCTGTGTCACAGTACTGTCTGCTTTCTTGAAGTGTGTTGAAGTCCCTCCCCTGATGATCTAGATCCCTGATCCCTGAAGCATCCAATTATGTTTATGCATTTGTCCTGACCTGCTTTGCATTTCATTTGTTTCCCACACTGGTGACTCTCCTCCTGGCCCTTGACAAAACAGGCTGCACAGCTGTCTGAGGATGGAAAAGGATTTTTTCTTTTCACACCTTCAGTAATAAGAACAAAAGAACAGTATGCCATGTCTTTGCAACAAAATATGAAAATGAAACACATTTTATCCTGGTTTTCATTTTTCTTCCTTCCCCATTGCCTTTTAAATCAGCTAATTTAAAAAAAAAAAGAAAAAGAAAAAGGCATGGAAAAAGAAAGGGAGACGGGAAAATTAACCAAAAGTATTTCAAGACTTTTAAACTTCAAGACTTCAAACTTGAAGTCTTGAAAGCTTTGCAATGAAAACATTTTAAAGCAATATTTGTTATTGTTTGTAATAACTGAGACACTTTCCTCCTTTCTTCCTTATTTCTTCATAAATACATCTCACCCTCTTTCTCCTCCAGGTCTGGCTGCTCTGCTTGATCCTCACTGCCCGAGGCATTAGGTGGTAGCTGCTGGAGCTCTGAGGGACTCTGGCAGATCTAGTTCTCAGAGCCTTGCCCGCAGAGAGAAAATGATCTGTTGTTTTTATTCTTCAAAAGCTGGAATTTTAGTATCTTCTCTGGCTTAGTGTCTTCTGTTTAGTATCTTACCTGGCCTGCCTAGCCACAGGAACATTCAGGGAAATTTCTGCAGCTTTCTTCAAGTTTTTGCTACTGTTGCTGAGACATTTTATCTAAGGCCCAGTGATAAATCTTTTCCCAACGGTTTCTTGATTATCCTTTGACACTCCCTCTCCTCATCCTCAAGTACTTATGGTGAAAACCTCCTGTCATTTGGCCTTTGGCTTCCTGGTTGACTTACAGCAGGTGTACTACAAACCTGAGTCTGCTCTGGGTTTAAGTGTTATTTTACATTCCTCTGCTACAATTCTGTTATATATTTAATACCATTTTTAAAATATAGAAATATTGAATTTACCCTTTTTTTGTTTCAACGAGTGGTTATATTTTTTAATTCTTTCTTATACTTTAGGAAAGTAAGTGTTACTGTTAGCATTGTTGTTTTTTTAGGGCCATTGAGACACAGTAAATTTTTATTATGCAAAACTTAAGGACAGCTTGTAGTGTTTTGCATGATCAAGGCAAATGGTTTAGCCAATATCAGACAGCATTTTAGTCTAACAAGAATGGGCTGTTAATCTGCCACCAAATAGTTTTTCCGATGGAAAGTTTTCCTTTCTGTGCAGAACAGAAGCAAAAGTTGAAATATCAGAATGTCTCCCAAGACTGAAATGTCAGTTTTAGCTTTGATACGGTTCGAATCTTTTGGCTCCTGGTCTCGTGATCTGTCTGTCTGTATGTACCATAAAGTGCCCAGTCAGCTTCAAGTCAAGCCCTTCATGGATGTTTCCCCTTGAGCTAATCCTCTGGATAATGAGAGTCAAGAGACCTTCACTTCACTTTTACTTGTGATCAAATATCTTCTCCCCTCTGTCCTTCTTGCCTTTATACCTTCTTACTGTAACATATTATTCTCATATAAGATTTGGGCAGAACTCCTAATTAAATCAGGGCAGAGATCACAGGTAAGTGAAACCACTTAGTATTATCAGAGAAAACACTCTTGGTGAGAAATCTGGCATATGTTTAAAATAATGATTAGTTTTCATTACTTATGCTGCTCACTGCTTCTTGAGCTTTTGCTTCATGCATTTAAAAAATACCTTGCTTTACTCACATGTGTGTAAAACTTCAGAGGCAAATAAACCTCATCAGCTGGTGGTAAGGAGTCAGTTTCAGAGCAAGTAAATGGATTTAATTTCTGGTCTTAGTCCAGGTACCAGCTGTTTGTGAAAATTAGTAGCTGAAACGTACTAGAGAGTAGAGGGTTTTTTTTTTTTTTTTTTTTTTTTTTTTTAAAATCATCCTGGTTTCTTTCACAAGCAAGAACAATAAATTGCCAGTAGCCCTAATGACAACAGATGAGCTATGGTTTTGGGGGGAAAAAAGTAAGGCCTGTGTTAACCTTCTTCCTTGGGGCTAGGAGATGAAAATCAGTTCATGTGTCAGGAAAAGCATGAGAGTAAGATACAGCTTATGTAGGAGTTGCAAGTCATGCTGCTTTTCCTCTTGTCTCTAATGGGTGTACCCCGGGGTTATGGCCACTTGGGGAATACTTGCAAATATCAAACAGCCCAGACTCTTCCAAAACAGTGAGCAGTCAAAAAGACTGCAATTTTTTCTCATTGAAAACAACCTCCTATTCCAAAACCACGTTCCTTTGTGTCTTTGAAAACAAATGAAAATTAGATGATTGAAACTTAGCTGATGTGAATCAGCAGAGAGCTGGTGATACTGGCACCTGCGACCTGAACCTAGGTCTGTAGGCAATGGTATAAATAAAGGACAGGAAGCATGTTCTTGTACAGATGGCCTGGCAGATATGCAAAAGAATCCATGCATACCAGAAGAAATGCAGATAAACAGAGCAGTGAGAAAACTTGTACCAGTTAGGTAATCCAAATAATTTAGAAAGGAAAAGATTTGTTGTGAATGTGTGTATTAGAGTGCTGACTGCTAATGGCCTGTGGGGACATACACACAAGAACCCCAAGGCAAAGAAAGAGTTGAATAGCACAAATAAGCTCATTTGTGCTACTGAAAAGATATGCCAAGTTGTTCTCAAATGCTTAAATAAGGTTTATGGCTAGCTTGAAGCACAAGGAACTGTAAAGGAAATAATGAATCTGCCTTTAGTTTAATCCAAATAAGAATTTACTCTCCACCTTAAAAGCTGTTCAAGTTGCTGAGAAAAACCAAAATGTATGTGATAGGGAAAAGTCTATGTTTTAATCTTCACAGCAAATATTTTCTAAGGATCTCAATGCATTTTTTTTTCTCTAGTTCTATGCAACAACTTCTGATGTTAATTGTTTAGGGAACTTTATGCAAAATTTGTTACCTAGAATTAAATTTATAGTGAAGGTGGTGGACTTAAACACCAAGGATAATGTTTTTTTAAATGGTTAGAGTTGGTTAGTGTAAAATAATCAGAGCCAGAGCAAGGATGCACTATGAATAAAACTTATATGGCCAAGGAGGAACATTTTACCTCCCTTCACCTACCAGTTTTTGAGTTTTATACATATTCGGATGTATTGACATTCACAAATATCTGCAAATGTTTTGAGTAATTTTAAGTATAATGAAATCTATATACAACTGGGGCATGCAGGTATTAAAGTAATGGTAATGTACAAGAAAATCCCAAAGAAATGGTTTCTGGAAATATAAACAAACACCTGAAATAAGAAAAATATTTCCTTTTCCAAGTACCATTTAACACTTGTTTGGAGTAGCTAACTTTATATTGTCAGTTTATTTTTTACTGCCCCCCAAAAATGTGTTTTATTTGGCTTTAAGACTTTATAGCGGTAAATAATTTAGGAACTTTAAGTAAATTTTTACCTCATAAATATTAGGATAAAACTGAGTCCTTTTAAAGGCAGAGCTCTTTCAAAGACAGCCATGAAAGATATGACAGTATGTGATCTTGTCGGTTGTGATGGGAAAGAAATGTCTAGGAAGGTAGACCAGAAATGAGTGAGATCCCTGATATATGTCTTAATTCCCAAAAAGGATATGGAAGTTTAAAAACGACATGGCTTCACTAACTGATTCTCTTCATTGTTAGTATTTATATTATAAAATAGAGATTTAAAATGTGTGTGTCTCTCAGGTCCTAACCATTCTTTTTTTGTGATACTGCCTTTCCTGTGACACCTCAGCTTTAACATTTACACTTATATTTCTTTTCTCTTCCTTCACACAGACATAGAGGACATTGCATGTGGAAGAAATGACTGAAGGTTATCTAGTGATAGAAGAAAATTAATTCATTGGGAAACTGAGGAAGGGACTGGAGAATTATTGAAAGTAAAATCTTGAAAGATTTTTTTCATCACTTTCCTCAGAAATGGATATGTGACCTCAGTTAAAACTTTTCATAAATTTTTAATCTAAAAGAAGACATCCATCTTGAATACTAAAATGTAGCAAAGATAAACACCTGAAATCAAAGTTCTACAACGGGTATTGTCAGGCAACTGAATTCTAAGTGGTGTAAATGACAAAGACTAGAGTAAGACTAGAGTGGCTGGAAACATAAGTTGCATTTCTTCCAGCAAGGATGAGGCAACTGAACAATTTTTGCATCAGCCAGTCACCTAGAAGCCCAGAGGAACTCTTCAAGCCAGGAGAGCAAAGGCTTACAGACCCAGTCAAGAAATTAAATGCTGCTACAGGAAAAATATTTCTTCAAAAATTGAAATTCAACTCCTCTGAAAGCAATTCCTTTCCTCTGTCTTGGAGATTTGGCCCAGATGCAATAAACATTGCTGACAATGAAGAAGGAACATTGAATATTTTGCTGTCAAGTGCTACCTGGATTTTTGAAAACAAGAACTTGAGGCAAAATTGGAGCTAACTGTGGAAATGAAATAACAGAAAAAAAAATCAGCTTAAATTAAATAATGAGGCACAGTGATAGGTTGGGTCTGCTTGGAGTTCTGTAATGTGAAGAAGGAGAACGAGCAAGCAGTATATTGGGCAGCTTCTTCGCATAGCTACTCCAAGGTGTAGAGGTAATTCTTCAGTCAGTCTTCAGATTTACATGGAGACCATTTTGCAGCTGCATTTTTTGCTGCTTAGTCCTCCCTCCAAAAAAGAATAAACGTGTGATTTTTTTTTCAAAGAAAGGCAAACCCTTACATATAGTAAATGATTTTCAGCAGTCAAACCGGGAGTATAGGAAGTAAGTGCTTTACCGTGTGTGAGCTGTAGAAAAAGGAGGCCAGAAGTTCTCAGATTTTTTTGAGGGAGTTACCCTCTTTCAGCATTTCTCTTTTCCTGCAGTCCTAAATCAGAAAAAGATTCATTTTGTTTGAAGTAAAAGAATGAGAACAGGCTATAATTTACAGTTGAGGTATAAATATTTACCCTTCCAGCTCTGAGCCAATTACACTCTTTTGACTCTTTTTTCATTAGAAATTGCATCTTTCATGTAAAATTTGATTGAAGTCATCTCTCTTAAAAGATGAGGGTGGGGAAAGAAGTTACATAACAGAGAAATGAAAGCAATATTTTTCTTTCATTTCTAAATGAAATATTTTCAGTTGACCCAAAATACAATTTTCTAGCTTTTTTACATTCCTTCCTTCTTTTACAGAGTTGGTGTTAGTTGAACCATATCCCTCTCCTCAATAATTTAAAATTGTGATTTTGCCTCAAAACTGAAACACATTGTGTTATAACAGCCTTAAAATAAAAGTTTGTTTTATCTTTCTTAGCCTACTGCTCAAGTTCATAACTTCTCCCATTGTAATATAGTGCAAATACTGTAACACAGAACAGAGAAGGATCCAGCGGCACAGAGAGACAGTTTCCTGTAAAGATCTGAATGAAGATGAGCTCTATTTCAAATAGCATACAAAATATTGTTTACACTGTACTGAACGAGAGTTGACTTAAAGAAGAACAGTAGCTGATCACTCTGAAAGGTTTAGTTTAACCTGAACTGTATTTTTTGTTCTGACCCTTAAGAACTTGCATGGAATGACAAGAGTGTTCTGTTCTGAAATGCTGAAATTCAGCATGTAATTTTGAGCATGCTGAAACACAATATTTTGACACTGTCAAAATATCTTCCCTCATTATTTTTCCTCAAAAACTTTTGTGGAAATTGACCTTAACTGTAACCATTGTTCTAGTGTTTTAACATTCATATGTAAGGCCTAATTATGCTAGTCATTAACTGTTACCCCAGTCTAGTTCATGACATCAGCGATAACTTCATAAGAATAGAAAGAAAAAAAATACCATATTTAAGGGAAAAATGAGAGATAATATTTCAGCTGAACAGAGCAGAGGCACGGAGATGTATGTTCATGGGTACCCTTGAGGCTGAAGTTGTCCTCCAACGTCTTACTGCAGGTTGGCGAGCTGGCAGGTGTCACCAATTGCCTCTGCAGTGTTTCTGTGCCTCCTCTCCTGACCCTCGGCACTGCTCTCTGCCTGGCCTGGGCGGTTCAGATGGAAAAAAAAAGGGTTTTCTTTAAAAAAAAATGTATTTTGAAACACTTATTTGCTCAATCTTTTCGGCTGACTTGCATTCCTACATACACATGACTGAGAAGGGAGGAAATGGAGGAAAATTCATAGCCATGATATTGAATGAGAGCCTGTTATTTTCTGTTTTTCCTATTTTGAAGCTAGATTGATGAGGATCTTGTGAACCATAAGGAGCTTTTGAGACAATGCTCCAAACATTTTCTTTTTCCATCTTCTGATAGATGACTAATAGCCACTAAATGGTAGAAACTTGCTGCTCAGCTGCTAGACTTGCTTGTCCTTACTGGCAAAGGACAGCTCTCCAGTGCATTTCTAATGGCAGTTAGTGGCCCCCAGCCAAGGGCAGGAACTCTACCGAGTAATGATCTCTAACGTGTCATTTACCCAGTTATTACTACTTTATTTTACACGTCCTTTGCAAAACATTTCCTTATTGTGCCAGAAATCTGTTCAATGTTTTCCTGTTTTCAACATGGCTGTCATGAGCTTAATAGCACAGAAAGATCAGAGTGAATGCAAAATAGTGATTTCATTGGAGGTGTTCTCCAGATGAAAGAATAAACTCTGATTTTTTTGCATGACAAGGGTGATTAATGGGGAGGATTTTATTAGGAATTCTTCCAGCGGGCTTCCGAGTCCTCTTTTCCTTAGTGCAAGAGTTCATAGCAAAATGTCACTTTTTGATCACATCTGGTTTTGCTCTCAACTCCTTTTTAGGGCCGTCAAGATTCCAGCAGTCCCCCTAGACTCTGCAATCTAGTGTGTATAGAAAGATGCAACTGAGCTGTCCATATTTGTATCAGCCATATTTTTGCTGGCTAAGTAGTCCAGCTAATCAGTGTTGTATAGATAGGCAATAGAAAGTGTAAATTTTTATCAACAGTGAACCTAAGCAGGAGGCAAATTTATGTCCTTGGAATTGCTCTCTGGAAGTCATAGTTTTTTTCTACTAAATTGAGATATTAGCAGAAAATTTAACCAAGAAAGTTGGTGACCAAAAGATGGGTGGTGTTAATATGCACAGATCTACTCTGTGTGTGTGTGTGTGTGTGTGTGTAGGTAAGTTCTCATTTCTGCTGAAGATTCAGCATGGAATTCTATTGTTACTGTTTCCCAGAAAGAAGTTCATTCAGCCCTGCTTGTTATGTCTGTGTCACATATGCTGATGTGAAGTCATTTGTGATCTACCCAAGTGCTCTTCCACCTAAACAGGAGATAACACTTAACCAACAGCTTGCCAGGGATTTTCAGCCTGACTGCAGCTGAGAAAAGGACTCTGTGAGGAAAAAGGCAGTTAAAGTGTTTACAAAACCCGCAGTGTGTGTCTGTGGTGTTATGGGTGGTTAACTTTCTCATGAACCTATTAAGCTATAGCTTTCACTCCAATTGAGCATTGTGGGAAACAACTCATCCCCAGAGCATCATGCTGTGAGACGCCAGAGTCAGAAGGAACAGTTTTGTTGGCAGTGGTACACTCTGCAAAGACTTGATTTTTTCTGTAGAACCATGTAATGGTGCTCATTAGAGCTTTTGTGAAGAACACTTCAAGGTATGTTAACTGAAAACTGAAATTAAAGAAAGTGCATCTTAAGCTCATGTCAAAGGGGTTGTGAGGACAAAGCAGAGTAATGAAAAAAAGTCTTCTCCTGGATAAGGCAGACAATAGGCTAGAACTCTGGAGATCTTTGCTTTTTTGCATGCAGCAACTGAAACAGATATGTGGTAGAAATTCAGTTTTCATCTCCCATTAGAAGAATGAAGCAAAGATCTTTCACCTGGAAAGCTTTTTATTGCCATGTAATGATTTTTTATATTTACCTACTAAGCCACTGTGCCCCACATCAACATGCTTCTGTCAATATGCAGCTTAATAATGCATATTATTTCACACTTTATTTAGTACATTGTGAGGTAAGTGGGCTCAATTGTAGAGTAATAAGCTCAACTGATTTAGAGGATTTAATGTTAACATGCATAGCCAGGGAGACTTGGCAGGGTAGAACACTATTTTTCCTTTACCCAATTAAAAATGCTGGTGCTTATTACACTTTAAAGAGTTTGCAGGGGAGCTGGACTAGTTGGACTTCTAAAAGTCGCTTCCAACCCAAACCATCCTATGATGCTGTGATTCTATGATTGCGTATTTGGCTTTTTGGGTAACATTTAAAAATTTTTTTTTCACCTCATATGACTGGAAAGGTAGTGCCTGGTCATGATAGATGAAGCACTAGATATAAAATGGGAAAGAATCATGTCTTAATTTCATGAGGCAAAGGTTTGTTAATTGTTCCTTAGCTTGCTTGAAGAAACATGGACTATTACTTTCTCTTCTCATCATATTGTCTGTTTTAGCTAAACACTGCCTTTGTTGAAGAGGTTCTCCAACATATGCTTCTTGTTTAAGGAGCTGTCAAACTGTGGCACTAGATTTTTGAAGAGAAACATGTTGACTATGTGGAAACAAAGCTGGAGTGAAAATAACATCTGTTTCTCCCTGCTCTGCTGACGTGGTGTTTCCCTGGAAGTAGGTGTGGTTGGGTAGTCCTTGTCCTCATACTGTGACTCTGAGCAAGAAAACCACTTCTCTTTTCCTGACACTGCCTAATTTCGCCATGTTTCCTCTCTCATCTATCACTCTGAAACCATCACAGAATTTGAAGTTTACCAAAATTCAAGTAGGAGAATTTATTTTTTTCTCTATGGGATATTCAATGTTGAATTTTCAATTTGATATTTCAGTAAGGTATTAATATAAGGAGAATAGAGGAGAGAAGAGAGGAGAAAAGGGAAATTCCTTCTAACTTAAGTTTCTGTGCTCTCTGAGAGTACAATGAAGGAATAACAGCTTATGCATCCAAGGAGAACAGAATATCAAAGGGCTGGTTTTGTTTTCAGTCATGTTTTCTATCTGATGCTTCTCAGCCATGTGGTCATAGCACTTAGACTCACTACAGAGACAACCCAGAGGAAAAGATCAACTGGGCCCTGCAGGTCAAACCTCTGTGACACAGAACGACATGAGTTACTAGAGTAATTGCTTAATTTCCACTGAGTTGTATACTGTCCTTTTAATTTCAGAAAGAAAGAATGAAAGAATCTCCTTTGTGGGAGATAAGAGAAGAGCACATTATTTTTAATAAATATTTCATTGTATTCTTGAAGAGAGAAATGTTTAATGAGTCAAAGAGGAAAGGAGATCCCCAGATAACTTTATAATGGCGAAAAGGCTGATAAAAAAAAAGGTAACGATCCAGTAGCGATAAACTTTCAGGCTGGCAGTACTGGCAATACTGGAAAATAGCTGGATTTACTAGGAAATACAGAAGGAAGCAAAACCAGTAGATCAATGAAAGTGCATTTATATCATGAGTAACTAGCTGGCTTTATTGCTTTTCCCTACAAAAGTCATTTAGCTCACATACCTAATAAGTTTCAAAAGATGAAATATGAAATGAGCATAGATTGGCTGTAATTACAGCCATAGATTGGCTGTAATTTTATCTCATAGCATTAAACATGAGAACAAAATAAGTTCACATGCTTAGACAAGATATTCCTCTGTTGTCATAATATAAACAATTCCAAATTTTTTATTGCATTAGAATGAATGAAGATTAAAATTAAATTTTTCTTATAGAGAAATTACCATATTTCTTCAGGACAGCATCTTCCTCATTTTCTTCTCAAATGTCTGCTATTGTCTCTGACAAGTGGATCGCTGTCAATGCTACTAAGCAATACAATATTCCTGCAGTCCTAAAGTCACAGATTACTAACAGTGAGCAAGGTATTACAATTTTCCTGGTGGCTTTGTGATTTGTTTTCATTAACATTAAACCACCCAGTTGATGTTTTCTTTTCACTATCCTCTCTTAAGGACATCGCACTTTAGTTATTTTCAGGCATGTGCATGAAGTGGCTTGCAATTCATCTAGGATTCTAAACTGAGATTATGAAACATCACAAAATGAAACTCATTCATCAAATCAATGACTTTAAAATTGGATAAAGAAATGGCTTGAAGTAATGAAATATGAGACGAATTATGAGTTTCCTTGCTTAATGTATAAGTTTTCAACTTTTAAGAATAAATGATATTTGTGAATAATTGCACTGGAGTAAAACTTCTGAAGGATTATAGCATGTATTTTTCATAGCCTGGCTCTTACAAGATTATTTTTTTTTTTCATGAAATTTGCTTTTCGGTGTTTCTGGTCA